AAGATCACAAACAAACAAGGGAAAGTGACCAAAGAAAAAGATCACAAACAAACAAAGGAAAGATCACAAACAAAGAAAGGATGCAAACAAAGAAAACAAACAAAGACACAAACAAAGAAAAGAAAGACCACAAACAAAGAAAGGAAAGGCCACAAACAAAGAACAAAAACCACAAACAAAAGAAGAAAAACAAAGAAAGGGAAGACCACAAACAAACGAAGAAAAGCCACAAACAAAGGAAAAGACCACAAGCACATAAAAAAAACACAAACAACCAACTAAAAATTCTTTCACACAAGGAAATAGCGATCATCTGTACCCCATGGTGCCTGTTTATAGCAATTTCATAAATGAAATGGATTAGAAAAATAGACGATGAGTAAAGAAAAGGTTATATGTAATACCTTATCGTGACGTAACGGTTTGGTTAGTTAAGGTTAGGTTAAGCTATGGTACGTTCGGTTAGATTTGGTTTGGTTGGGTTGGGCTGGGGTTGTTGGGTGGTTGGTTGGGTTGGGTTGGGGGGTTTGGGTTGGTTGGGTTGGGTTGGGTTGGTATGGTTGGTTGGGTTGGGTTGGGTTGGGTTTGGGGTTGGGGGGTTGGGTTGGTGGGTTGGGTTGGGTGGGTTGGGTTGGGGGTTGGGTTGGGGTTGGTTTGGGTTGGGGTTGGTTGGGTTGGGGATTTGGTTTTTGGTTTGGGTGGGTTGGGTTGGGTTGGGTTGGGTTGGGTTGGGTTGGTGGTTGGTTGGTTGGGTTGGGGGTTGGTTTGGGTTGGGTTGGGTTGGGTTGGGTTGGGTTGGGTTGGGTTGGGTTGGGTTGTGGGTGGTTGGGGTTGGGTTGGGTTGGGTTGGTTGGGTTGGTTGGTTGGGTTGGGTTGGGTTGGGGTTGGGTTGGGTTGGGTTGGGTTGGTGTTGGGGTTGGGTTGGGTTGGGTTGGGTTTGGGTTGGGTTTGGGTTGGGTGGTTGGGTTGGGTTTAGGTTAGAGGTTGGGTTGGGTTGGCGTTGGTTTTGGGTGGGTTGGGTTGGGTTGGGTTGGTTAGGTTAGGTTTAGGTTGGGTGGGTTGGTTGGGTTGGGTTGGGTTGGGTTGGGTTGGGTTTAGGTTAGGTTAGGGTTTGGTGGGGTTGGGTTGGGTTGGGTTGGGTTGGGTTGGGGTTAGGTTAGGTTAGGTTGGGTTGGGTTGGGTGGGTGGGTTGGGTTGGGTTGGGTTGGGTTAGGGTTAGGTTAGTTAGGTTGTTGGTTGGTTGGGTTGGGTTGGGTGGGTTGGGTTGGTTGGGTTGGGTTGGGTTGGGTTGGGTTGGGGGGTTGGTTAGGTTGGGTTGGGTTGGGTTGGGGGGGTGGGTTGGGGGGTTGGGTTGGGTTGGTTGGGTTGGGTTGGTTGGGTTGGGTTTGGGTTGGGGTTGGTTAGGTTAGGTTAGATAGGTGGTAGTGGTTTGGGTTGGGTTGGGTTGGGTTGGGTTGGGTTGGGGTTGGGTTGGGTTGGGTTGGGTTTAGGTTAGGTTAGGTTAGGATAGGTGGGTTAGGTTGGGTTGGGTTGGGTTGGGTGGGGGGTTGGGTTGGGTG